TCTTATCACATCCGTGAGTTGTTTCTCTATCAAATACCTGAATCAAGTTCACAAAGCACATGAAAGCAACTTTGTTATTATTAACGGCTTTTTCCGCAATTTGCCTAATTATAAATATTGCATCGTCGATCTGTTCTTTTTAAAACCCTGCTGTTCTTCGATAATTTTGATTTTTAATATCTTTTCTGCAATAATTTTGATGAATAGTTTCATGGTTGAATTCAAGAGGTTTATTGGTAATTTTTCGGATCTGTCTTCGTCCCCCTCTTAAACACAAGTACTGTTATGCTGTCCTTTCATTGGCCTGGTGCCCTGCATTGGAATATGATTTTGTTGAAGAGAATCTCCAATTCCTTTTGCAGTGCCTTTCCTCTATATTTAATTATTTCGTATATAATTTCGTCTGATCCTGGTGCCTTACGGTTCTTTAGTTTCCGTCCGTATTTCGTATGGCCTCTTCCTTTTTTTTTTTGTTTTCGAAAGGGCACAGATATCAAGTTTGTGCTTTTCCAATTCAACGAGGATTTCTTGATCCTTATTAGAAAAGGTTGTCACATTCCAGCAGCCGATTCTCAAAATGTGCCTTCCTGATTCTTTTCTTCCAATTAGTCCGATTCGCTTTTTTCGGTTGTGAATTTGCTATTTTTGTTAACATTGACATTGCTATGTCGTAAAACATTGTTGTTGTCTGGTCAAGAGAAATTCTCTCCTAATTGTGGAAAACATTGAATCTCTTTTTTCGTTTAGTCACTCTTGTATCTTGTTTTATTATGACCATGTATTGTACAGTACTTAATTTATTTTACACATTTTTAATCTGTTCTAAACTCCATTAATTAGTTTATATTACATTTCTAAATAATGACAATTTTTTACCTGTATTTAATGGATTACATTCTTGATTGTATTTGCGTATGTCTGTATGATTGTGTATATTGATAAGTTAGTTTATTTTTGTTTTATTAATATTTTCATTATTCAACAAAAAATATTTTACAACTATCCAGCACCGATTCTTCATTAAATATGTTGTTAAACACAAAAATCTAAGACATACGTAATTATTTTATATGGGCGATAACTCCTGTTTAATGGGTGAAACACCTCTTTGAAAAAAAAAACAATATTTTTTTTTTAGCCAAATGTCGTTGGAAATATAAAAAATGGAAAAAATTTTTTAAATAAAAATTGTACGGTTTCAAGAGTACCTACTTAAAGTTGTAAAGAAAAAAATT